AGCCCAAGCCTGCCAAAGGCAAGGCTGAGGCCCACTTCTCGCTGGTGCACTACGCTGGCACCGTGGACTACAACATCGCCGGCTGGCTTGACAAGAACAAGGACCCCCTGAACGAGACCGTGGTGGGGCTGTACCAGAAGTCCGGACTGAAGACTCTGGCCTTCCTCTTTGCTGGAGGACAAGCTGCTGAAGCAGGTCATTTTTAATACCCTTAATAAGTCCCAATAGTGATAAAATGGATATATACTACTTATCAGAGACAGACATAGTTATCTCATTTCACCAATGAGGAAGCAGACTCAGAGGCTAAGTGACTTGCTCCCAATCCAACAGTTCATTTCTATCATCATCATAGTGTTGGTTCCTTCAAGGATACAGTTAAGTTGGAGATGAGGGAATCTTTTGTACATAAGTACATAAGGAATGTACTGGAACTGAATTTCTGTTCTCTTATGACCACTAACATTAGATATGCAAGTAACAGTACAGAATACAAGCAAACAGGACATGGGACTTCCCTGCAGGTCAGCTGAGGCTCAACTATCTGGGTCCAGCATGCAGCTTTGCCTCCCTTTCTGGCAACTGTGTGCATCAGGGACTTCCTACTCTGCCTGCTGGACACTTCCCTCAGGGAACAAACTGCAGAGAAGTCTACACCATCTCCACATCTACCCTTTTTACCTAAATTGTTCCTGTCATTTTCCTACAATGTTAGTCAGAGTTTGTATAGTCTTAATGTACAGCTCAAGGAGGCGAGACACAGAAAGGACGTAAGAATGCAATGATACACATGAATGAGTGTAGACATAAATTACAAAGGGAATTTGGGGAGTCCTCGTGTCTATGGATAGTACTTTAAAGTCTGTTGCAAATATATATTTTTAAGATTTATTTATTTATGCATACAGAACTGGGGTACAGGCCAGAGATGCAGGGAAGGTGAGAGGATTCACCACAGAGTGGGGAGCAGAACAGGAAGATTGATGAAGTACACTGCTGAGGGGAGCAGTGGGCGGGTCAGGAGAGATCTGCTGCACCATGTGGATCACCTCCGGAGTGGGGATTGAACTCATGCTGAAGTGGCTTCAGCTTCTCAGTGCTGTGCTTTAACCTGATGCACCAACAGGGAAGGCCATTGCAAATATTTTTAATTTTCTAATTTATTTTTCAGAAAGTGGTGGTGGTGGAAAGAAAGGTGCCAAGAAGAAGGGCTCTTCTTTCCAGACAGTGTCAGCTCTTTTCAGGGTACAGTATATTTTTGAATTCCAAAAGATTACTTTTACAAATAATTTTTAAAGTGTTTTTAAACATAGGTCTATAGTGACATTGTACGAAAAAAAATATCTGAAAAGTGCCTCAGGAAAAGTTTAGCAAAAAGAAGACCTACAGTGTGCTGCTTTACATGAAACTTTACAGAAAAAGGAATCATTTTCTCTTTTAACCCCAAATGTAAAAGATCTGGTATTGAACAAATTTCATATCATATCACAAAATCTCTTAAAAGCAAGACCACTATGTTCAGTTAAATCTACTTCATGTGACCGTTCTCAATAGATTCTCTATTGGCAGTTACTAAGACAAACTGAAGCTGACAAGCTTTGTGTAAAACATCACATCTCCATGTCTGACTCCTCTCAATATTGTGACCTGTCCTCACTGAGACAGTGCATTCAGCATGAAATGGGAGCGCATTAACTACACATCACTGATCAGCACTGCCATGTAGCTACAACCAGACATTATTTTTAAACTTTTCACATGGTTTTATAGGAGAATTTGAATAAGCTGATGACCAACTTGAGGAGCACTCACCCCCACTTTGTACGCTGCCTCATCCCCAATGAAACCAAAACTCCTGGTAAGGCACCTCTGCTATCCAGACAAGTTGCAGGACATTTGCTTTAGATCACAGAATAAGGCACACGTATTTCTTCCCTCAGGGGCCATGGAGCATGAGCTGGTGCTGCACCAGCTGCGGTGTAACGGGGTGCTGGAAGGCATCCGCATCTGCAGGAAGGGCTTCCCCAGCAGGATCCTGTATGCGGACTTCAAACAGAGGTTTGTGTCTCATTTTTCCCCTTTCAATGTGTTAGGCTATGTCAAAATCACTATGCAATTCAAACATTTGTTAATTGTCTTGAAAATTGAAGCACACATTATTTGGAAGAGGCCCTAAGAAAATAAGACTTAGTTTATTATTTTATCATAACTTGCCAAGTTTTACAGTTCTGTTTGTTTTAAAGGCGTGTTCAGCCAAAGTTCATTTTATCATTTTTTTTCAATTGTAGCTGCTGAGAGTTTTTCAGTGAAGAAAACCCACATTTTGATACTCTTTTATTCTCATAGATACAAGGTTCTAAATGCAAGTGCTATCCCAGAAGGTCAATTCATTGACAGCAAGAAGGCTTCTGAGAAGCTTCTAGGGTCCATTGACATTGACCACACCCAGTACAAATTTGGTCATACTAAGGTACCAACAGCTCAACTACCAATCCTAACTTCACCACCTCTGGACTTTATCATGAATGAAAATAACATATTTAATTTGTTCTTTGGCAAGGTTTTCTTTAAAGCTGGCTTATTGGGAACTCTAGAGGAGATGCGAGATGAAAAGCTGGCTCAACTCATCACACGCACTCAAGCCATGTGCAGAGGGTACCTGATGAGGGTGGAATTCAAGAAAATGATGGAGAGGAGGTAAGGACCAAGCCTAAGTCTTCCTTCTCTATATTTTCATACTTAAAACCAATGTAGTCATTACTTTTGTTGGGTGTTAATAACTTTCCACATTTTTCTTAATTTGCATCCATTTCCCTTTTCCACAGGGAGTCCATCTTCTGCATCCAGTACAATGTCCGTGCCTTTATGAATGTCAAGCACTGGCCTTGGATGAAGCTGTATTTCAAGATCAAGCCCCTCCTTAAGAGTGCAGAGACAGAGAAGGAGATGGCCAACATGAAGGAAGATTTTGAGAAGACCAAAGAAGAGCTGGCTAAGTCAGAAGCAAAAAGGAAAGAACTTGAAGAAAAAATGGTTGCTCTGATGCAAGAAAAAAATGACTTACAGCTCCAAGTTCAATCTGTGAGCAGTAAACATTGTACACTTTGGCAATGTGCTTATCATCCAATCACTGCATGATTGAATATGAAATTTTTTAAATTAAGATTTATAGGGAAACAATTTCCACTGAAATAACTGCTAAATTGTTTGTCTTCCAAAAATACTGAGACAAAGGTCTAAGAAAGAAATGGAACAAGTCATAAAAATTATGCTACATATATTCACATGTGTAGAGTTTGGTCATGAGTGAGAAAAGTTGTCTATCTGAAGTTTTAATTGGCAAATTAGCTTGCATATGTATTGACTGAACTGGTTAAGTTCCCACCTTTTAATAAATTATTGTATGTTTGCAGATATAGCTTAGAAAAAAATGTCTAAATTTCTCTCTTTAGGAAGCAGATGGCCTGGCTGATGCAGAAGAAAGATGTGACCAGTTGATTAAAACCAAAATCCAGCTAGAGGCCAAAATCAAAGAACTAACTGAGAGAGCTGAGGACGAGGAGGAGATCAATGCGGAGCTGACAGCCAAGAAGAGGAAACTGGAGGATGAATGTTCGGAACTGAAGAAAGACATCGACGACCTTGAGCTGACACTAGCCAAGGTGGAGAAGGAGAAGCATGCCACCGAGAACAAGGTATATTTTGTGATCATTTTGGAGTATGACAAGTGTGATCTAATTGCCCAATAGTTTAATTAAAAGTTTAATCTGAACATACTATGGTAATTTTGTCATCTTTATAGTCTTCACCATTTCTATTCATTTACTTTTGCCCTTTATCTCCCATATTTTTTATTTATGCAGATCTGGATTAACTCTAGTTTCCAATTTCCAATTAGGGTTGACATTGGCCACTGACAGTACCACATTTTTTATTAAGGTTATAGGATGTCATTAATATTGCTGTATTTTATTAAAATTTAAAGGTGAAAAACCTCACTGAGGAGATGGCAGGCCTGGATGAAAACATCGCAAAACTGACCAAGGAGAAGAAGGCCCTCCAAGAGGCCCACCAGCAGACCCTGGATGACCTTCAGGCAGAAGAGGACAAAGTCAACACCCTGACCAAATCTAAAACCAAGCTAGAGCAGCAAGTGGATGATGTAAGTGTGAAAACCTAGTGTTTACCATAAAGATCAAATAAACAACTGTGATCTCAAACCATCAAAGATATTCATAAGCCTTCAATGGCTGATTTGGAAGTAATGAAGTTCTTGTGTTATTTGGTATGTCTTTGAAAATTCTCTTACATATCATTTGAAAAATAAAATAAGAAGTGAGACAAGCAAATAAAATCTATTATAAATCTAGCTTGAAGGATCTCTGGAACAAGAAAAGAAACTTCGCATGGACTTAGAAAGAGCCAAGAGGAAACTGGAGGGAGACCTAAAACTGGCTCAAGAATCCACAATGGATATAGAAAATGACAAGCAGCAGCTGGATGAGAAACTTAAAAAGTGAGTATATGACTTATTTATAACCTGAATAATATGATTCAGTTGTGCATGGAGGAAATATATGGGAAACACAAATAATGGCATCTTTGGCTTTCTTACTTAATGAAAATGTTACACTGTTGACATGAAAGCATGTATCACTCATGTTTTCAACCGAGCAATAGAAGGATATTCAATTGTACACAGAAAAGAAGAAAGGTAAGAGAATTGACTGAGCAAATGTGTTGCTCTAACAGGAAAGAGTTTGAAATGAGCAATCTGCAAAGCAAGATTGAAGACGAACAGGCTCTTGGGATGCAGCTGCAGAAGAAGATCAAGGAGTTACAGGTCAGTACATGGTTTCCACTGGCCTAGTTCACTGTGACATAAACAACACACATTAGCTAAGACTGTGCTTTTCACCACTGCTAGGCCCGCATTGAGGAGCTGGAGGAGGAAATCGAGGCAGAGCGTGCCTCCAGGGCCAAAGCAGAGAAGCAGCGCTCTGACCTCTCCCGGGAACTGGAGGAGATCAGCGAGCGGCTGGAAGAGGCTGGCGGGGCCACATCAGCCCAGATTGAGATGAACAAGAAGCGGGAGGCCGAGTTCCAGAAGATGCGCCGGGACCTGGAGGAGGCCACCCTGCAGCACGAAGCCACGGCAGCAGCGCTGCGGAAGAAGCACGCGGACAGCGTGGCCGAGCTCGGGGAGCAGATCGACAACCTGCAGAGGGTCAAGCAGAAGCTGGAGAAGGAGAAGAGCGAGCTGAAAATGGAGATTGATGATCTTGCGAGCAACATGGAGACTGTCTCTAAAGCCAAGGTCTTCATTAATCTGTTCTTTTCATGTTTTTTTTTTTTTCAGTTTACGCACACACATACACACATAAACATGTACATTTTCCTTATAAGTATAAGTATAAAACATAGGTATGTACTTATATATTTGTGTGTATTATATAAATATATGTTGATCACTATTAATTACTATATTAATAATATTTTTATTGAGGTAACAATAGTTTACAAAAATGTATATGATTGAGAGGTATAGATCACACACTTCAAGTGTATGTTACCTATGTTACAACACAATACCACCCCTAGGTATGTTCCTCCTCCACTGTCCATTGGTTTCCACCCCACTTTGCTCTCCACCCTCCTGCTCCCTCTCTGAGAGCCACAGTTCTATGTCAGATTTCCAAGATTTATTATTGGCTTGGTTTTATCTCACCTTTTGTTTCTATAAGTGATGCCATTCGTCTTTATATATGATTCAAAATGACCAGGTATAACATGACTATATCTAATCTAACTATGCAAACTTTAAATGTCATCTCAAATTTTAAAACCATTTCTAATAGGCATCATTACAGTAAAGCATTTCAGTCTTTATAATCTTATTTGTAGGTACACTCTCACTTAAACTTTATCACTATTACCATGAAAGAACACAACGACAGGGAAAACCCTGATAATTTAAAGGCAAAACTCCACATAGATGCAGACTTAACTGATTTTTTTTATCAAAGAAAAGAATCTAATTTTCACAATCATTCATTCATTTAGCCCAAATTAGGTACCTCTCCCACTTGCACGGAACTCAGCCTCTTTCCACAAGTAGTCATAGCTCTCCAATCCCAGACTTACAAGCAGAAACATATCCTCCTTTCCTGCTTCCTACTTCACCACAGGGAAACCTTGAGAAAATGTGCCGCACCCTGGAGGACCAGCTTAGCGAAGTGAAAACAAAGGAAGAGGAGCAACAACGCCTAATCAATGAGTTGTCAACCCAGAAGGCCAGGTTGCACACAGAGTCAGGTCAGTAAATGAACAGGACCACTACTGGTGCAGCAGCCATGAAAGGCAGTCATGCATCCCTTAACGGTGGAGCTAAATTAGGAGAATTTTACTGCCAGGCAAGACTGCCTGCCAACATCACAGATGTACTTACACAAGATGAGTTAGACTCTAAGCTCCCTGTGCTAAGGAGATTTTTATTGCCTCTTCATTAGTTGGTGGGGGAAAACCCAAATCCTAAAATGTAACAAAAAGTTTAAATGTTTTTGAAAAAGCAAGGAATAACTTACTCAGTGGCATTAAAAACTCCTGAATCTTTCTTTTTATCACATGAAATAAGGAAGTGTAATATTGTTTGATTGCTTTTCACCTAGATAACAGCTCTCCATTAGTCATATTTTGTCTTTCACAGGAGAATATTCACGACAGATAGATGAGAAAGATGCTCTGGTTTCTCAGCTATCCCGAGGCAAACAAGCATTTACACAGCAGATTGAAGAACTAAAAAGGCAGCTAGAAGAGGAGACTAAGGTGAGAATTCTCCCATTGATAACTTTCAACCACTGACTGACCTTTGCTGCATGACTACTATTGAACTTCACATGTAGAATATCAGTGATCAAAGCATAAACTTACATTGCACACATTTTTGTGGGTCCAGGCCAAGAACGCCCTGGCTCACGCCCTGCAGTCAGCTCGCCACGACTGTGACCTGCTCAGGGAACAGTATGAGGAGGAGCAGGAAGCCAAGGCTGAGTTGCAGAGGGCCATGTCCAAGGCCAACAGCGAGGTCGCCCAGTGGAGGACCAAGTACGAGACGGACGCTATCCAGCGCACGGAAGAGTTGGAGGAGGCCAAGTAAGGAGTTGTAGTGATGGCCAGAATGAAATACAAGTTAAAAAAAGAGGAGGGAAAATTAAAGGAGAATCTTCTAGGCATGGGGATTCACATCAGATTTTAGTCTATATGATTGTAGACTGATGGATTCCACCACAACCTCCTTTCTATAGCCTAGTGTGTGGCCACTGTAGACTGGTCCAAGGTCAGATGCCTCTCCACATTCTGGTCTATTAGTGGCATTTCTTTCTATTCAAATGAAAATAAAATAATTATCAGCTCAGTTTTAATGAATTAAGGAGAAATACTTTCCTTTCATATAAGGTGTAATGGTGCATTATTATGCATATTATAATTAACAATAAGCAGTTTTTCCCTACCTAGAATATTGTAAGTTTAGAATAAACAATATCAGACATTGTCACTTTTTACCTAAAAATCTGTATGAGTGAATTCAGTCACTAGTAAATTCATAGTTTGTGCAATAAAATTCATGAAAGGAAAGTAATATTATATTCCCAGTGAAGGCAGCTTCCTTAAATTTGATTTATATCAGTAGTTGCTAGAATTAAACAGAATGGAAGGAGTTGGGAAGCATTTGCAGAGGGAGCATTCTAGATAAAAGTGTGGGCTGGGAGAAGTCATGAACTAAGTGGCCTGATAAAGGGAAAACAGTGAAACTCTAGAGAACATTCAGGAACTGTAATAATGGAGTAAGTGTCTGGAGTTACTAAGTCCAGAAAATTACAGATTCATTGTATGGCCTTGAATATCTTATTCTGTGCCACAGATTCCTCATTTGTAAAATAAAGAGGACCACACCAGAAAGTGTTTAAGGATCATGTTTGGTGCTGGCACCCTGTGCTGCCAAGCCTCCTGTTCACAGCAGCCACGGCTTCCTTACCACCATGTCCTCACTGCACACTAGTGGGGAAAGTGCTTTCTCATATTCCCTCTCTCTCACACTCACACTGCCACCAGCCCTACCACCACCACATGATACACTCAAAAAGCAGCCTCATAACTATGTTCGAAAATTCCTCAGATAAAAGTAATAATTCATTCAGGAAAACAGAATTCTAGAAGAGATATATGATACTAAGACAATATTTTAAAACATTCCCAACAACTTTTAGACCTCAGAGAAAAACTCTTGGGAGAAATGTGTTTTCCAAGTGCAGCTCTGTATGATTCAGTGTGTGGCAACTTGGACTCTGCTCTTGGTCACTCACACTTACAACTTTTCAGGAAAAAGCTGGCCCAGCGTCTGCAGGATGCTGAGGAGCACGTAGAGGCTGTGAACGCCAAGTGTGCCTCCCTCGAGAAGACCAAGCAGCGGCTCCAGAATGAAGTGGAGGACCTCATGATTGATGTGGATAGAACCAACGCAGCCTGTGCAGCTCTGGACAAAAAACAAAGGAACTTTGACAAGGTAAGCCATGGGCACCATTTCCGAGGGGAGATTGGCATGAATCTTTGTTACAGAGGCTTATTATTAATGTACTTCCAGATCCTATCAGAATGGAAACAGAAGTATGAAGAAACTCAAGCTGAACTTGAGGCTTCCCAGAAGGAGTCCCGTTCTCTTAGCACTGAGCTGTTCAAAGTGAAAAATGCCTATGAGGAATCTCTGGACCACCTTGAGACGCTAAAGCGAGAGAATAAGAACTTACAGCGTAAGTCTCTATAATCATTCTATTTAAAAAATGGGAGGGAGCTATCCTGGCCATATCTTTGTTGTTGTTGTTTTTCTCAACTGAGTTTTGTATTTTATTATTCAAATATAGAGGAGATCTCTGACCTGACCGAGCAAATTGCTGAGGGTGGAAAGCATATTCATGAACTGGAAAAAATAAAGAAACAAATAGATCAAGAGAAGAGTGAGTTACAGGCTGCACTAGAGGAAGCAGAGGTACACATTTCATTTGCTTAACTATGCATTAAAAATAAATTGAAAAAATAATAGCAACTGAACTCTATCATGTTGCAAGCCATTAGGGTATAACTCATGCAATTCAATGAGAAATACTGAACTGTACCTTGGGAATGCAGAATACATTAAACTAAGATGTATGAAAGTTTGTCAGTTTTTTTAATGTCTTCTTGAAGGAATCATTAAATACAAACAACAACAAAAAATCCTTTAGGTAACCTGAATGTTGCTTTTTATGCAGGGGTCTCTGGAGCATGAAGAAGGAAAGATTCTTCGCATTCAACTTGAGTTAAATCAGGTAAAATCTGAGATTGATCGGAAGATTGCTGAAAAAGATGAAGAAATTGATCAGCTAAAGAGAAACCATCTTAGAGTGGTGGAGTCCATGCAAAGCACCCTAGACGCTGAGATCAGGAGCAGAAATGATGCCCTGAGGATCAAGAAGAAGATGGAAGGAGATCTCAACGAGATGGAGATCCAGTTGAACCATGCCAATCGCCAGGCTGCTGAAGCAATAAGAAATCTTAGAAACACACAAGGAATACTTAAGGTACACTGGTGTTGTAAAGTCTGGGTGTCAGTGTAAACTCAAATTTTAGTATTTTAGGAGGACTATACATCATAAATCATCTCAATAGAATGGTAATCAGTTGAAAATTACATACACTTTTAAACAAAGCTTAATTTTCGAAAACCTGGACTGAGTTTACTTTGTCATTTAAGACAAGACAGTGAGAGAAGGGGAGACAAGATATGGTGAATTTAGCTACATGCTACTGCACAAAACACTTCATTGAGGTAGACGTCATTGGTTTACTAAATATAAATGAACACCATTAGATTAGCAAATCTCTAAGAATACTCTCCTGATACAAAATTTTGTAGCTTTAGCTATGGTATTCTTCTATGATTCAAGGTCTAAAATAATATAACTTGTTAGTTTGTGTAGAACTGTAACCCTAGGCTACAAAGAATTTGTCATTAAAGGGACTTACAGCTTTTCCCTATCTAATCATCTCTGTGTGTGTCTCTAAATTTGTAGCCACTTTAATTGGAGGATGAGTAAGAGTCATTTTCTCTCTCTGTTTAGGACACTCAGCTACATTTGGATGATGCCATCAGAGGCCAAGATGACCTTAAAGAACAACTGGCGATGGTGGAGCGCAGAGCTAATCTGATGCAGGCTGAGATTGAAGAGCTTAGAGCATCCCTGGAACAGACAGAGAGGAGCAGAAAGGTGGCAGAACAAGAACTGTTGGATGCTAGTGAACGTGTGCAACTCTTGCACACCCAGGTGAGGTTCAGGATAATGGATGAGCAAATGTAGTAAATATACAGCCAGCACAAGTGAAAGAACAACAAAGGATAATAATTCACTTTTTGTGAACTGTGTGGTACCATGTGGTCCAGCACTTTTATTTTCTTGATGGGACTGAATTTGCGCTTCAAGTTTACAGGCAGTTATCAATATTTGTAAAATATCTTTGGTATCAATAGTTTTCATTTTTTACCTAGAACTTAAGAGAATTTTTATTAATAGAAATATGGGTAAGAAGCAGGGAAGACAGAAACTTAGTTATCTTTTGGTTTGGATTTTATTCTAAACATTTCTTCAATGAGTAATTTATGCCCGTATGCACCAATAAAAGTGATAATGTAAAAGTTACAATATAGTTAAATGCACTTCCCCTTTCTTGTTAATTTGAAATAGAACACCAGCTTGATCAACACCAAGAAGAAGCTGGAGACAGACATTTCCCAAATCCAGGGAGAGATGGAGGACATTGTCCAGGAAGCTCGCAATGCAGAAGAGAAGGCCAAGAAGGCCATCACTGATGTGAGCAGAGGGTAACAGGGCGATCCAACCTGAATCTTGATGCACCCTCTCAGCTCCCTCAACTGATTGTGTTTTGCTGCCAATTAGGCGGCCATGATGGCTGAGGAGCTGAAGAAGGAACAGGACACCAGCGCCCACCTGGAGCGCATGAAGAAGAACCTGGAGCAGACGGTGAAGGACCTGCAGCACCGTCTGGATGAGGCTGAGCAGCTGGCCCTGAAGGGCGGGAAGAAGCAGATCCAGAAGCTGGAGGCCAGGGTGGGTGTCCACCACTTCATTCAATTCATAGCTTGTTCATGCAGCTAGTTAGAGACAATGGTTAAATACATCTGTTCTCTTACAGGTGAGGGAGCTGGAAAATGAGGTTGAAAATGAACAAAAGCGCAACGTTGAGGCTGTTAAGGGTCTTCGCAAACATGAGAGAAGAGTGAAGGAACTTACTTATCAGGTGACCAGCTTTTCCATATTTTCCAACTTCACTGCACTCAAGAAAATAATGAGTCCTTTCTCCGGCCTCCTTTCCTCCTTCCTTCCTCCCCTTTTTCCTTCCTTCCCTGCTCCCTTCCTGTTGTTTTCAAATAGTGACACTACCTATTTGTTTTATCTTTCATTTCAGACTGAGGAGGACCGTAAAAATGTTCTCAGGCTACAGGACTTGGTGGATAAGTTACAAGCCAAAGTTAAAGCTTACAAGAGACAAGCAGAAGAGGCTGTGAGTATCTACAACATGAAAGACAAAGGTTCAGGAGCAGTGCCAGGCTTTTGTGGAACCTAAGGTTTACAAAATTTAACAATGCTTTCTTAAAGGGAAAGAACACAAAATTAGGTATGAATATGAGTATTTGTTTAGAATAAGAAAAATTATCACCAATTACAGGAGCTTTAGAGATTCCTGATTATTTCTTCTGAGACTTCTATAAGCAATTTCCCACACATGTTAAAATGGAAGTGCTTCTTTGTTATCAACCCTCTTCCTTCTTATATACAATACACTACAACTCCCAGTAATTAACAAACCCAAAGAGGACTGCAACTGACAGTTCTGAAGTCTAAGCCTTACTTAACTTCATGATAAATCCATCTCAGGACATTTCTTTTCATTTCGCTATAGATATCTTTTGTATCCTGTTAATTCTGAAACCTCCCTTAAGTTTCTCTACAATTAATACCACCACTAGAACCTACTTTTGAATATTTCCCTCATGGAAACAAAGTTGACTCAGAGTCCACTATTTTAATCTCCTCACTATCACTATAGCATCTTAAATATTCCAGGAAGAGAAAAAAACAAGTGAGAGAGACTGAGAATGGGGTTTTAAGTCTACTCATTCAGAGGTAAGGATACAGAATGCCCTGTCCCAAAATAAGTATGCCAGTAAACAACAGAATCTTCTGCTTTCTCACTCACCTAGAAAATTCCTCCTGGTTACATAGACAACAATAATCAGAAAATGTCAGATTTTCTTGTTCTCTCAAATGCACTTCTTTTATCAGGAGGAACAATCCAACGTCAACCTTGCCAAATTCCGCAAGATCCAGCACGAGCTGGAGGAAGCCGAGGAGCGGGCTGACATTGCCGAGTCCCAGGTCAACAAGCTGCGGGTGAAGAGCCGGGAGGTTCACACGAAAATCATAAGCGAAGAGTAATTTATTACAATGCTAAATGGTGACCAAAGAAATGCACAAAATGTGAAGTTCTTTGTCACTGTCACATGTCACTGTAATGTAAAGGAAATAAAATTTGCAGAAAATTTTGCAATCTAAGTATATGTGTCTCCTAACTACAACTACAGGCTGTATAGCATTATTTTATTTTAGAATTAATTCATTTTTGACATTATTTTAGTTGCTACTATGTTTGGAGATGAAAACAAAAATGAATGAAGCATTAAACTAACTTTAACATTAGGAAAATTAAATTAAGTGCTCTAGGAGAATATGAAGGCAGTTAATGCAGCCTCAGTTTCATACAACCAATTTTGCCTGTACCAAGTATATGTCTGAACAGAAGTCAGCACCACTGATATGGCAATTACCCCTGCCTTTGAGGAGCTCAAGGTAGTGGGAGACCATAACCCAAACAAAGTAGGGTGCAATTTCATGCTATGACAGAAATAGGAAAACAAAGTGTGGCCATGACTCGGAATGAGCCGCTAACCTCATGGATTCATAAAGGCCTCCCAGGGGACTGTGAGCTCACTCCTAAAAAAAGGTAAGTAGCTATGAGATGGAAGAGAAGAGGAGCTGGTGGTCGTAGGAAGAGAAAACAAGCAGGTGATTTCACAGTAGTCTGAACATAGTCCTCATGAGCCATGGACATCAGATGAGGCCAGAGATCGAAGACCTGACCAAAAGGGATGGAACCTTATGCAAATTTGACAAGGCAGGAAGGCATTCTACCATCAAACTGGTAGAATGGAGGTTGGGGTAGGATAGGAAAAACCTGGAAAGATTGATAAGAAGGCTAATAAAATTGGTCCAACTTAGAGATGGCAGGCTGGAAATAAAGCAGGATTCTACTGCTATTATAAAGAAAAGACAGGGAGGTAATCAAAGAAGTTAAAGAGTTTCACAGCATTGAAACCTCCCCATCACTTAGTGATTATAGCTTTTATTCCTCCGACCCTGTGCATGAAAAAGGATAAAAATTTTTCCCTGTGCATGAAAAAGGATAAAAATTTTAGAAAAATTCTTGTAGACCTTCTTATTTAAACATAAACCCTCCTTACCAAAGAACCTAGTTTTTCTCACTACCAGATGTATTTTAAGGAAGAACCAGGAAGGTAATTTATTTCTTTTCTTTTTTTAAAGATTTATTTATTTATTCATACAGAACTGGGGTACAGGCCAGAGATGCAGAGGGTGAGAGGAACAGAGTGGGGAGACAGAGTGGGGAGCAGAACAGGTAGATCGACGAAGTACACTGCTGAGGTGAGGGGAGCAGCGGGCAGGTCAGGAGAGGTCTGCCTCGCCATGTGGATCTCCTCTGGGGCAGGCGGGGATCAAATTCATGCAGAAGTGGCTTAAGCTTCTTTGTGCTGTGCTTTAACCTGCTGTGCCACCAGGGAGGGCCCGGTAATTTATTTCTTAATTTAAAAAATATGACTGAAATTAAATCATCGATTGCTGTGGCCAAGCTATTTTTTCCATTGGATCCTTTTTTAAACGTTATACTATGGCTTCATTGTGTGGACTTTTAAATAATAAGATAGTATTTATCCTTCTCCTTTGGTTCACTTCACTTAGAATAATCCCTTCTGGTTCCATCCATGTTGCTGCAAATGACATGAGCTTATCTTTTTTGATTGCTGAGTGATATCCCTTTGTGTATATATATCACATCTTCTTGATCCAGTCATCTGTTCTGGGGCATTTATGATTTATGTTGTTTCCATACCTTGTCTATTATAAATATTGCTACTATAAACATAGCAGTGTAGATTTCTTTTTTGAATTAGTGTTTTTGTGTTATTTGACTAGATCCCTAAGAGTGAAATTGTTGGGCCATAAGGCAGATCCATTTTTAATCTTTTGAGGAATCTCCACACTTCATTCCATAGGGGCTGGACCAGTCTACATTCCCACCACCAGTGTAATAGGGCTCCTTTTTGGCCTTGTTTCTGTTTATATATATATATATATACTATATATATATATATATATATATATATATATACTATATATATATAGTATATATATGTATATATATATACACACACATACATATAAATATACAGAGTTATATAGAAGCTTTTTTAGTTTTATATAGTTCCAGTTGTTTATTTCCTCCTTTGCTTTCCTTGCTGCTGGAGGTGAGTTCACAAAGATGTTTCTGAAGTTTGTCATGGAGTGTTTTCTCTATGTTTTCTTCTATGTATTGTACAGTTTCAAGTCTTATGTCCTAGTCTTTTAAAGTGAGCCAGAAGGACAAAGATAAATAATAGACAAATAAGAAAAAAAAAGATAGTAGAAAACCAACTTGTTCTCTAATTGTGGTAGACATCCTTTTCTAGTGAGAAGGCTGTTTGGGGAGATCTAGTTTCCCATAATATTTTGTGAGAAGAGGATTTAAAAGGGATAAAGGCAAGAACAGGAAACTTTTCACCTAAGCAATGATGAACACAAATGAAATATCCTGTCTAAAGTTGGTATTTATTAACAAATTTTAATTAAACATTATAGCATTAACCTATTGACCCCAAAAGCACTAGGAAATTGCTTTATTATTCCATATCCTAACCATTCAAGTGACTGGTTATTAGAGAGTTGAGTGAAGATTTCATTATCTATGAATCAATTATTCTTTGGCTTCTGATGAAGGCTACAAAGTTTTAGAGTGATGACTCTCTTTGTTAATATTCTTCCTCAACTTCCTCACGTACTTCATACAAAATGATACATGATAAGTTATTTATAACTTTGAATAGATAATAATTTTATAATAATACTCTTTGTATTAATATGAGTGATCATTGAGATTTGAGAAATTTCTAATCTGTTAATACTGGATATGAGAACAGACAAGATGCAAGAGAGAAAAAGTCAGGCACCTGTCTCTAAAAGCAACTTTGAATTAGGAACAATGGAGACAGATTAAGTCTGATTCCTTCCTGATAAGTAGCACTTAATGTGATGGAAAGGAATTGGGACTAGAAGAAGATTGTGAAATATTACAAAGGGAAAGGACTTTTCTTCTAACCTATTAAAATGTACACACAGGGAGCTATGCAGAAATGCTCTTGTGTTTATGGTATCTAGCCAGGCACCATGATATTAATAAAATCTCCTAGAATCTGCAATAAGGCCAATCCCTCCATTTCTCTATATCCCATGGGCTTAAAAATCATGGTTACTGAAAGGAATTCCTAGGACTACTGACATATTGATACTGAGAAATATCTTTCCCTCTCAACTCAATTCATGAGTGTTCAAATAACCAAACTGATATCAAGAACAAAAAAAAAAACTCAAGATCTCGCTATAAAACTATAAAACTTTTCTCATCTGTCTAAATCTCCTACTATTAGAGACACAACATCCTGGAGAAGGTTCATTTTACTTAACCTGTTATTAATTTTAGAATATACTAATTTCAAACAACACCCTAGCTAGAATTACTGGATATGCAATTGAGAAGGTTACTATAGAAAGACATCTCTTGAGATGTGCCTGAAGGGAAAGCAACCCTGAAGGAGGGGAAGAAAAGGGAAAAGAAAATATCTTAATAAAGGCCATTCAATCACAATTTGGCTGAGGGTTGAGCCTAAATTAAAATTTTCAGTATCACTGCTCATAAATCTAGGGATTATGTGCACCTTAGCAACTATTCTCAAATTTAGCATGCACAGATTGGTGGGCCATATCTTCAGAACTTCTAATTCAATGATTTTGATTGGGAACCCCAAAATATGCATTTCTAATAAGTTTCCAGGTGATGCTGATACTACAAGTCCAGAAAACTAGGTAACAGGGTGGTCTCCAGGAAAAGGGGAAGTTCCAGGTTCCTTGCCCCACCCAAAAGGAAGATGGAGCTGAGCAGAAGAAAGGAAGGAATATAATAATACTGAGAAGAAAGGAATCTGGAGAGGAGACTGAAGAGGAAGGAAGAGGATGGAGAGCCAGAGGAAACCTAAGCGAAGAACATGGAGCAAAGAGACATATGAAGAAGAGGCTCTTTTTTAAGAACCTTTTTTTAAGGCCTGGACTGGTTGAAACAGATATGGGTGAGAGACCCATGGGGAGGTTGACTGTGGTAGCATTTACCTTGATTTTGATTTTTCTTTTTTCCTCCCAGACTTGTCTGTCCATTTCTAACCTTTTTCTATAGACCCCCAACAGAAGGTGCTTGTGGCGTGCTTTCAGGCCTTGCTTTGGGCCAATCCCTTTTGGGTGGACTTTTTCCCACGAGGGTATGGGTAACTTCAGGTGTTTGATTTAGAAACTATATTCTCTATCTTTTCTGTATTGGCACACTAAAAAGCACAGCTAAAATACATTCAATGATTAAATAGGGAACATTTTTACATAATATTTAGCCTAATGCTAAAATACTCATTGTCATCATTTTCATCTAGAAGTCCCAGTTATATAAGAAGGCAAGAAATGAAAATGAAAAAGCATAAAGATTGAGGGGAAAGTTATATTGTCTTTATCTGCAAATGATAATATTGTATCTATACAATATTTAAATAAATCAATAAAGTGCTACAAAATCCAAGAAGCAAATCAAGCATGTTTCAATTCATGAGATGAGCAAAAAAGTCGACTGCATTTTTATATTAATAGCAAACAATCAGTAAATGAACATTTTAGAAAATAAATATGATTTAAGACAGTATCAAAGAAATCACAAAATATTCTAGGAATAAGCATAACCAAGAAAAATCTCAAAAGTAATGTCTGTTTTAAAACTAAATTATTGCTGAAAATAAAGGAGATTTAAATAAATTACACATGCACACATATAAAGAGAGAGAACATGTTCTTGGTTGAAGAGTCAATATTATAAATCTGTCAGTTCTCCCCCAAATTGGTCTAAACAGTTAATGGAGATTAAAAATCCATTAATCGTCTTTTTTGATAATTATATAAATTTCAAAATAAAATGCCATCAGTCATTTTTGTTGATAAATTAGCAAACATTTACATGCATATGGAAATATAAGGAACTTCGGAATAACCAAAACTATCTTAAAAACTAAATGCAAGAGAACTTCCTCAATAAA